TAATTTAGGTAAATTAGGGACGGCATGGTGCCTGTGTATATAGTAAAAAAAAATATAAGATGGTAAGTTTATTTAACTGTTATTGTAAAATTATTCAAAAAAGCAATTGGTTAAAAACATGTTAATTTTTGTTTTCTAAAATCAAAATCACAAATAAATGAAACACAGCTTTATTATAATAAATTATTAAAAATAAATATTATGCATAAGACAGAAAATACACAAATATTACTATCACTAGTTAAGTAAATAAACTATACAAATTGTTCACATTAGGACTAAGCATATTTACAGTTCAAAATTTAATATTATACACTTAAATGAATCCGAATGAAGAAACTTACTTATTTGATTCAAATAGTTTAAGATAATATTAATTWAACATAATTCTTAAGTATTTTTAAATAATCTTGATTTTGAATTGCATAAATAAACATTTTTTATAATATTATAATTAAATAAGTATAAAAATAAAATTTTAATTGTCATTAGGTTATGAAAACATTGTACTTGAAGAAAATCTAATGATGTAGTAATCAAATAAGTTTCTAGTATTAAAAAGTTGGTCAATATTAAATATTAAAATTACATAAAAATATCATATTTTAATACTCTAATCTTAACAATAAAAAAATTATAAATAGTAAAAAATCTATTTTAAATTATTGTTAGAAATGAAAACTTATTATTACCATCCAGTATAGACTAAATAATCATTCTTGTTWGTGTATTTTTTAATGAATTGTTTTCCGGCACGAGTGGGTACTGTAAATGCTATTTCATCAAGAGTCAATATATGACCATAGGCATAGGTTTTACTAAAATAACGAATATTRGTATTAAAAAATTAATCAATATAAAAAGTATCCTAGATTTTTTGCTTTTAACTTAACCCTGGCATTAAAATTATCACATTTTAACACTGGATTATATAGTTTTAAGGACATTTTTTATCTACAGTAAAAAATATGAGTAAGTSTTTCATACAAAACTTTGYATAAAAAGGTATGCAAACAACTAATGCTTTGCAACATATTCACATTGCATTTCCAAAACATCTGATTCAGAAATAAAATGTAGATTTGATACCTATATGAGTTCTTGACACATTTCTTCAATTTAATATTATGGCCAATACTTTGTGGAAAAGTCACAGTAATTTATCTAACGACAGTTGTACATCACTGTTATATGTTTGATAATTTAAGTTTTATTGAGTAGACCAACATTTATATTATTTTAGAAAGAAAAAATAAAAATTTCACTAACAAATTATATTATAACCAATGTTAACTTGTAGTAGTCACAATAACATAATTAAGTTAAATGGAAAATCATATAGGCTATTCAAAATGAGATCATATATTCATATCTCGCCAGCAAACTTCTGTGCATGGGCGAGGCTTCATTCCAAAACACTGGATTTTACGAGGAGTGATTGACAATACGTCGGAAAGTCAGGGACAATAACTTGGAGAAGTAAGATMACTAAGATCTCATTTTCAATAGAGTATAGGTAGTTGCAACTCACAATAAGCGATAAAATATACAATATGTCATAAAATCTTACCGGAAACAGTCTAGAAGTTTTGAAGCAATTCCTTTTTTACGACAGTCCCATTTTGTCCAAATACGGTTAACACCAACTTTTACAGGATATGATTCTTCAGAAACAATAACCATATCTTCTGTTTCAGTTTCTAGATTACGATAAGCCTCAGATATTAGTTCTACTACAAGGCATCCTATCACTTGTTTATCTTTTATATACAAATAAACCTGAAATATTGAAAACCAGTGTCATGAAAATGTCATTAATAATACAAATTAATTTATTGCAAGAAAAATTTAACAAATACCTTTTTAGTCGTAGGTAAAACAGAAGTTTGTGTATTAAAGCCAAGTTCTACATCAACAAATGATATAACTTCTAAAGCCTTAGTACATGCTATTTTAGGATCTGATCCAGATATGACAACAATACGTTCATTAGTGTCCTGATAAAGTACTTTTTCATTTTTAAAGCTCTATAAAATAAAGATTATGTTTAGGTCATAAAAGGAAACAATTTATTTTAATTAACATACATTATACTTGAAGATATTCTTGGCTACATGGTACTTATCATGTTCTGCTTCATCTTCTGGTTCACCTCTTGAATAATAAAGACCACATTGTTTGCACAAAAATCCACCGAATTTCTTTTGACCTGCATCAATTTGATATTGAGTAGCATCAATAATTCTTTTAATTCTCCGTGCCGTAGGTTTTTCACTATAGTAAATAATTTAAAAGTGTAGTTATTTTTACATATTATAATAATGAATAATTCAAGATAAAAAACAAATATACAATTACCATGTAATATGACTAGGTGAAGGTGTTTGATTGGTAAAAATAGGGAAAAACTTTGTTTGAGGTGATTCATTTATAACTACAGAAGCATTATTTGAAGTATCGATTGGTTCATCTAAGACCATATTATTTAATTCAAATGTATTTGACACACTAAAAAATAATAATAAATAGATATTTAATTAAATGGTTTATGTTGAGATATGTCAACTATCTTAAATTTTGAAAATTTAATTTAATTATAATAATTTTCTTACTTACTCTTTTTGTGATGAATAAGCTGAATAATAATTCTCATCACTAGCATAAGCATCTCTAATTAAATCTGGCATTTGGCTTCTTAAAATAATATGGTTGTGACTTTGTACATCTGACTTCAAACGTTTTGGATCTAGTTCCATATATGAATCTTCATCTAAATAATAATTTATAATTATTTAAGTTATCATTGAATGAGATATAAATGTTAAAAATKTATTCTATAAAAAAATTATCCCAAATTTTATACACATTTATATTAAATAATTTAATATTCTAAAGAATGTATGCAATTRAAATTTAAGTTTGATATTTATATAAATAATTTTATACCATCTTGATCTTCATGATTTCTTTTAGTAGAATTTGTTGCAAGACCAGGGTAACGTACAGCTGTAGAATCGTCGTCATCATCTTCATCATCTAACAATTCTATTAATTCATTAACTTCTTGTCCAATTTGTTCAAGTGCACCATCATCAAGTACTTCTGTGTTGTTAAAATCAGATTGATCAACAGTGCTCATTCTATTTTCATCACCCCAGTTTACAACTTTGAAGTTAAAGCTATTATCTTTTCTGCAAGAAAAATTAAAAATATTAAAAATGGTATATTGATTTGCTAAATAATATAAACTGAAAAAATATCCTCACCTGTTTGATGTATCATTATGAATTACTTTAGATTTAAAAAATTTTCTGTTATCAGAATCTTCAATTTTTATACGTTCAGGTTTTTCCTGTTTAATATATTGAGTCCAGACATTTTTTGAAGAAGAAGATGGTTTTGAAAAATCAAAATTGTTTTTCTTAATTACTTCATTGTTTTCAATTAAATCATCCTTTTCATCACATAATTCTGTTTTGATGAATGGCTTTTTTACAGAAGATTTTTTTTTGAATGGCAATGTGACACCAGGAAACAAAATTATTTTGGATTTTTGTTCTTGACTGGTTGATCTTGGTCTTTTCTTACTCGTTGATTTTGTATCTTTAAACAGTTTAGCTTTTACCTTTGGATTATAATTCAAGCGGGTAAATCTTTTAACACGAAGATCTTCCAATGATATCTATCAATAAACAAAAACATTAGTGATTAAGATTGATTTTTTAATAACGCAAAGGATATTGTGCCAAATTTTTAGTTAAAACATATTCACACACACACACACACACACACTAATTTATATATACTGGTAAATAATGCATGTACGATGTACTTATTAAATTATAAATTCAATAATTAAAATTCATTTCTTACTTGATTGCTGCCATAAAATGTTATTGTTTTTACTCCTAATGCAGTCTTATTATTTAAACCAAAGCTTTTCTTTGAAGGAGTTTTAGCTGCTTTGTTAGTCTCTGATTCAAATGGTGTTGTGTTAACATTTTTAATTCGTCTAGAATTTGGAGTTTCCTCAATGACAATTGTTGCTGAACATTCATGTCCATTCTTTGATCCCGACATAAGTCTTTCAAACTTATCACTCATAGATGGACTTAATTCAGTGATTGGAGTGCAATTCATATTAATCGACGATTCTGGAGAATCAAGTCCAGGATCATACACTTCAGGAGATGATTGCAGAGGAATAATGTCATGGCTGTCTTCATCCCAATTATCTACTGGGAATAATTCACGTTTTCGGTTTGTTAAAAATGGCGATGGTTCATTTTTACGTAACCGAAGAGACTTGCGAGGAGTTGTAAAAGCAGACATGCTTGTCCTAAAGTTGGTAGTATACTTTTGTATTAAATATAACAAAGAATCTTATAGCTATGTTTAGAGAGACACTTACAGGAGGAAGAGAATATAACCGAGCGATTAATCAAATACTTAGAATTATTAGATTTGCTGAATGCTGAAACTTGAAAATGAAAACGAGCGTCCTCGATTTAATGTCGGTGTTTCGGTGACTGATGTTCGTTTGTTCGTTACATTGTTATTTTGGAGGGAAAACGTCCAATCAATATGTCCGTTTCAAGGGATTTTATGTTATCTGTTATCACTTATCACGACATTTCAAAACCATTCTATTCAGTGATTGAACCAAGGTGGATTTATAAATTATTTATGGATTGAACTATATAATAAATTAATAATCACAGACCAYGGATTAATATATTAATTAATTAAATTAATATATTAATCCGTGTCACAGACATATAAAACATATTTTATATGTATATGATAATAATTAATAAGTTTAATAATAAATATAATAATTATTATTTTTAGTTCAATGTTCAAAACATACCTATTATCATTGATTATAAATATTCGGTAAACTGTTATTTTATACAGACATTTTAAGTTCAAATTTGGTCGTAATTACATATTAAAACCAACTACCAAGAACAACGGTTTCAGTTATTTTGTTGTGATTTTATAATATTGTTCGTGGGTATATGAAGCTTTTAGAGTATATTATTATATTTTATACTCATTATAACATTTTCAATCGTAATTTTTTTGACGAAATTAATTTAACCTACTGTAGTAGTGTAGTAGTATCCATAGACCTTTTACTAAAAGGTCAATGGTAGTATCTAACGCCCATACTCTTTCACGCACGATTTTTAATAATTATTTAAACATTTTAGCCCCCCCCCCCCATTGGCTGTGTTTTGGAATACATTTCATATTATAAAAGACCAAGTACAAACCATGATATTTCTAAAAAACGGTATTGAATACAACGCATTATCTTTAGTAACAATGACCTAGTATAAGCAAAGCATAAACGTTACGTTCATTATGGTACCAGATACCTGAGATACCGATATAGATTTAGCCCCCCCCCCTATTCGAAAATCCTGGGTACGCCACTGATTTTAACCAATATTGCACAGGAGAATTTTTTTTAGAAAAATCATAATTTAGGTGATAAAGTAAATTATTGTTTAAATAATTAATAAGACTTCGGTGTTAAAAAACAATTAACATTATTTTTTAGAAACTTATTGTAGGTGCCACGTGGGATTACTTATGTCCCACCATGAAAAAAGTGTTTAATTTTATATGATGCATTACCAAGGTACAAAAGTATTATAAACATTTTTTTTAAATTATAATTTCAATATATCATCATGTAAAATACAAGTATAATATAAAAATAAAAATACGTATCTTTTAGGAAATTATATAGCATCGCAAATTTCACCAGCATTTAGATGAGAACTCATTTTTGAAACTCTGAAATATATTTAACAATGCGAATTTAAAAACAAAAATAGGATAATTGCTTTTTTTAATTATGTTGAAGGATAAAGCGTTTGGAAAAATTGTATTTACACATATTGTAATAGTATGTATCCGTCATAAAATATATGATGGGTAATTAATAATTATATTAATATTATTATTAAATGTTACATTAAATTATGAATATAAAATAAATTATCAATTTATACATATTACTACGTGTGCCGTATACCAATACCTATGTGTTTATAAATTTAAATGTCCAAACACTATAATATAATTTGTATACATAGTATATTATATCGTATATCCTACTAGGTACTACTAGGTACTACTAGGTACTAGCATTGAGCAGTGGCGGCGTGATAGGGTGTTTCATGAGGCAATTGCCTCACGACCGATTAGGTGGTGGTACCTCCTTGAATGGATATTAAAATACACATATGGTCAAGTGGTCAACTAATACTATTTATACTAATTATATAATAATTAGGATGATTTGTACCTCACGGTTACTGGAAAGTGGAAATACACTATGTGTAGTGTACTAGTGTGTACTATAACGTGNAATTAATAATTATATTAATATTATTATTAAATGTTACATTAAATTATGAATATAAAATAAATTATCAATTTATACATATTACTACGTGTGCCGTACCAATACCTATGTGTTTATAAATTTAAATGTCTAAACACTATAATATAATTTGTATACATAGTATATTATATCGTATATCCATAGGTACTAGGTAGGGTAGTATTATATGGCGCACGCATAATACTCATGAAGTCATGATCAAATCTCGAGAGTTTCACAGTGGGTTAAAATTTGTACCCTTGATTTTTATACTTCGTAACAGACGAACCGATATCTTATATACAAGTGAGTTATTAGTGAGTTATGGGCATTTTTATTTTACAATTTATTATACGTGCATAACTCGCTTAAAAACTGAATTATCGTTAAAAATACTTCCAACAAAGCACAGATAATGTTCTCACCGCATCAAGTTTCATAATAGGTCTATATTCACTCTAATTTTTAAGTAAGCTAACGGAATAAAACGTGAACTGCTGAGCGTACATTTATTATGTTTCGCGTTTGTAACACTGAGACAACAAATACGGGTGTTGCGCCCTCTTAAGGCTATTTTATATCACAAAATGAAGAAAAATAAATAAAAGTAATTGGGAAAAAATATTTTACTAAGTGAATTATTTTTCATATCACCGTGCTGGAAATATGATTTTCTAGATGAGACAAACGGTATCCCACCTTCCCACCGTGCCTGAAAGTAAAATTTATAATTTTAATCACAATAATATCATCAAATATACATATATTTAGTTCTCACGCTATGCTAATATGCTATAACAACAATGCAAATGGATTACGTTGTTAATTAGCTGACATATGGCGCGTCCATCTAATGTGGGTCTGATTCTGATATATGTTATAAATTAAGATTCAGTGTGGTACAATATACCATATTTAGTATTTAGACACTAATAAAAAAATATTTTAATAACTTTTTCATTAAAATTTAAGTAAAGTGTATATTTAGTTATCATATATTATGTGTGATATTAAATATGTATATAATTTTTATGAACAAAATAAATGCTTAAATACAAAAATACGCCTTAAAATAACGAAAAACTAATGTCTAAAATGTGCAATAACTTTTCATAGGTATAGTTAAAACGATTTTGGCCTAAATTAGACTTATATTTCGCTGTACTGTCTGCTCTGATAAAATTTGAGCGATTACTGATCAGTCACAACTTCAAACTAATTGCACGCCTGATTATTAATTAGTGGATGCCGATGATATTATAATTATTTCTTATGACTTATAATAAATTATGTATAAATTGGCATAATATTATATTGTTATTC